CCCGCCTTCCCCTGTCAGACTGAGGAGTCACTCCTGAGAAAGGGCAAAAGCGGAAGCCAGTGCTCTCTTCTGTTTGAGCTGGGCCCCTCCTGTGCCGCCTCCTCTTCATAGTAAAAACTGCTTCACCCTTAGTGTTTCCTCCGGGCCAGTGACAGTGCTGGAGTGAACACTTCATGAACTTTCATTCAATCCTTAACCCAATGAAAATGCCCTATTACCACCATTTTCCAGGTGAGGAAATGAAGCACAGAGAAGGGATTGCCCACGATCACTCACGGTGGGCAGAGCCAGGTCATGAAACTAGGCATTCTGTCTCCAGAGTCTGCATTTTTAACTCAACACAATACTCAGCAATGGCTGAGTGTGTGCCCTGTCTCCTCCTGGGGCTCACGGAATGGAAATAAATGTCTCAACTCAAAGACCAGCTTCTCCCCTTCTTTCTTAATTTATCCATAATGAAAATCGCAATAACAAATGGCAGAGCAGGGGTTCAAACCCTGTCTGCCTGTTGCCAAAACCTAAACTCTGGACCCCAAGAAACACTGCTTCTCTGCAATGAAACTATATTAATGCTGATCTCATGAACTCAGCCAATAATACAGTTTTATGATCACAGAGACAGAGGTGGGGCTGAGCTCAACACTTTTCCGAGGAGAAGAATAAAGTAAACAGGATTTCATGAGGAACATCAACACTTGCCGAAGAGAACAAGCTTGTAACATTCTTGAGCAACCTCATCTGCATGCAAACGAGCTGGAGCTTCCACTGCGCTCCAGCGCTGGGTGAAGCTTCAGCCTCTCCCGGCCACAGCCCCAGGGCCCTGACCATCCCGGAGGCTCCGCGGCCGCCTGCGCCTCCTCGTGGTGCAACTCGGAACTTCCCGGCTACACGCCTTGGTGAAATGCAGCTTCCTAGAGAACTGGGTGAGAGCCGTGAGATCTTCGCAGGTCTCACGAGAACCCCTTTTTTCTGGGGAGTTGCTCCAGCCCTCTTGGGGCTTCTGGAGCAGTGTCGACCTTGGGCAAGCAACCACAGCTAACAACGACAGGCCCTTCCTACCGCCAGGCACAGCACAAAGCCCCTTAAAGGGCCTCACCTCATTGAACCCTGTGCACTTGGGGGCAAGCCAGGTTGCTGCTACTATAATGACCAAATTTGACAGGGGTGATGGTCAGGTGGTACACATCGACCTGGCTAGCGACCGTCCTCAGTTATGCAATCACACACGAATCTAGGTGTTGCTACGAAACTTTTTTTTTTTTTCTATTTTGAGACAGAGTCTTGCTCTGTCACCCAGGCTGGAGTGCAATGGCATGATCTCGGCTCACTGCAACCTCTGCCTCCCAGGTTCAAGTGATTCTCCCTGCTTCAGCCTCCCGAGTTGCTGGGATTATAAGGCGCCTGCCACCATGCCCGGCTAATTTTTTTGTATTTTTAGCAGAGATGGGGTTTCGCCATGTTGGCCAGGCTGGTCTCAAACTCCTGACCTCAGGTGATCCACCCGCCTCGGCCTTCCAAAGCGCTGGGATTACTGTATACGGCGTGAACCACTGCACCCCGTTGGGAACATATTTTTATAGTTATTAAAGACCATGACCGGTTGACTTTAAGGGAAATGATCTAAAACACTCTGGGTGGGCCTGAGTCAATAGCTGAAAGGCCTTCAGCAGGGTGGAGGTTTCCCTGAAGACACTTCACCTGTGGACAGCAGCTCCGGCCTGGGCCCGGGGGTGCAGCCTGCCCCCTTTTATGGCCTGCCCTGGGATTTCAGACTTACCTAGCCAGCCCCCCACAATTGTGTAAGCCAGTTCCTTACACTACATTGCTTAATATATACCTCCCACTATTCTGTTCCTCTAGTTGAACCCTGGCTGATAGAACAGAACAGGTGAGATAACCTGTTCTCAGAGGCAAAGGGATTTGCCCAAGGTCACATGATTGGCAAGTTCCGGGCCTGAGAGTGGGGCGCCAGGCAATGTGATGCAGGTGCCTCCCAGCTCCCACTCAAACTCTCCCTCGAGGCCCACGCCCAATCATCACAGTCCGTCCAGCACCCGCAGCGCCTTGCCCCTCCACTGCTGCCCCCATCCTATCTCACCTGGCTAGCAACCCTGCACATCATATCCCATCCTGCCTAGTCAATCCCGATCATTCTATGATCAAAGCCAGATCATGTCCCTGCCTCTACTTAGAACCTTTAAGTGAATCTTTATCTCACTCAGTAAAAGTCAAAGTCCTTAGAATGTCCTGCAAGGCCCTATGTGGTGCTGCTTCACCCTACTCCCCCCCCACCCCCAGCTACATCTCTGCTCTCACCACCTCCTTCCACTTCACCCTCCACTATTCTTCACCTCAGCCACAGGCCTCCCTACTGCGCTCTGAGCAGCCGGCACACGCCCTCACCCCAGGGCCTTTGCACTTGCCGTGCCCTTGGCTGGGACTGCTCTCCCCCAGGTAACCATGTTGCTCCCTCACTTCCCTCCTAATAGGACATTCTCCTTTATACCTCATCACCCACAGCACACTGCAAACTTCTCTAGGGTAGAAAAACACCCCAGCGGGAAACATATTTTTTTTTTGAGATGGAATTTCACTCTTGTTACCCAGGCTGGAGTGCAATGGCCCGATCTCAGCTCACCGCAACCTCCACCTCCTGGGTTCAGGCAATTCTCCTGCCTCAACCTCCTGAGTAGCTGGGATTACAGGCATGCGTCACCATGCCCAGCTAATGTTTTGTATTTTTAGTAGAGACGGGGTTTCACCATGTTGACCAGGATGGTCTCGATCTCTTGACCTCGTGATCCACCCGCCTCAGCCTCCCAAAGTGCTGGGGTTACAGGCTTGAGCCACTGTGCCCGGCCGGAAACATATTTTTATAGTTATTAAAGACCATGACCAATTGACTTTAAGGGAAATGATCTAAAACACTCTGGGGGGGGGGGGCGAGTCAACAGCTGAAAGGCCTTCAGCAGGGTGGAGGTTTCCCCTAAAGACATTTCACCTGTGGACGTACAGCCACAGCACCTTGCTCAGCGCCTAGCATACAGCTGATGCTCAGTGAGGTCAGTATCCCAACAAGCCACACTTAGTCCTATCCCTCTACCTTTGTGCATGTGCCCTCTCTGGATTACCAAAGGCTCCCGCTCTCTGCTCCCAAACCAGAAAAATGTCTCCTCTTTCCAGATAATCGTCCCCAATTTGAAGCCACCATGACCTTTCTTTCCTGACCCTGGACAAGGTTCACTCCTTCTTAGATGGCTTTCTTCCACTCATCCACCCATTCGAAAAGTACCAGTGGCCCCCGATACTGATGCAGGCCCTGCAGCCGCGGTCTCTGCTCTCGGGGAGACAGAAGAAACAAACACATGGGACCAGTGGAGTGTGGGAAGTGATCAGGAGGGAAGAAGAGGGGCGATCTGCGGGGCGGCTGGACAGCGAAGGATCCGGTAGCTTTGCCGACAAGGTGACAATTTTAAGCAGAAATCTTAAGATGGAGCCAGCCATGTGAAAGATGAGGGAAGAACATTCCAGGCAAGAGGGAAGAGCAAGTACAAAGGCCACAAAGAAGAATGTGTTTGATGCGTTTAAGGAGCAGAAGGTGACTGGTGTGGCTGAGCAGAGTGTGCTGGGTGGGGGTGAGAGGGGTAAAGCCCAGGTCAAGAAGGCAGCCAGGGGCCAAGTCACACAAGCTCTGTGAGCCAGGGTAGGGAATTAGTTCTGGGTGGGATGGAGAGTCCCTGGGGGGAATTTAGGCAGGAAAGTATGTTATTTTCTTTCTTTCTTTATTTCTCTTCTTCCTTTCCTCCCTCCCTCCCTCATTCCTATTTAGAGACAGGGTCTCTCTGTTGCCCAGGCTGTAGTGCAGTGGCATGATCATGCCTCATTGCAACCTCAAACTTCTCACCTGGCTAGCCACCCCTGCTAGTGATTCTCCCATCTCAGCCGCTTGAGTAGCTGGGACTACAGGCATGTCCCACCACACTTGGCTTTGGTAGAGACAGGATCTTGCTTTGTTGCCCAGGCTGGTCTCGAACTCCTAGGCTCAAGTGATCCCCTTGCCTTGGCCTCCTAAAGTGCTGGGATTACAGGCATGAGCCACTGCACCCAGCTGATCCATATTTTTTAAGAGCTCACTCTAGCTGTGGTGTGGAGAATGTCAGATAGAGGGCTAATAGAGAAGCAGTGAGACCAGGTAGGAAGGTGGGGTCTTCCTGGAGAGATGAAGGGGGCTTCTAACATGTGTGATGGTGAAAGTAAGGAGACGGCGGCTCTGCAGCTCCAGCTGGCAGGTAAAAGAAAGGGAAGAGTCAAGAATGACTTCTCGGCCAGGCGCGGAGGCTCACATCTGTCATCCCAGCACTTTGGGAGGCTGAGGCGGGAGGTCAGGAGTTCGAGTCCAGCCTGGCCAACATGGTGAAACCCTGTTTCTACTAAAACTGCAACAATTAGCCCCAGTGGTGGGTGGTCCTATAATCCCAGCTACTTGGAGGCTGAGGCAGGAGAACCACTTGAACCTGGGAGGTGGAGGTTGCAGTGAGCTGAGGTTGCGCCACTGCACTCCAGTCCGGGCAAAAGAGGAAAATCTATATCAAAAAAAAAAAAAAAAAAGAGTGACTTCTAGATGTTGGGCTTGAGCAATACAGTAGATAGTGCCAGTTCCTGAGATGGGGGAAATGCTGGAAGGAGTAGGTTCAATGGAGGGAAGAAAGATGAAGATAAATTACAGGCCAAATTCTCCTTCAGTTTTCAAGTTCACCAGCCCTGCTTCCTCCAGAAAGTTGCTGAGAACTTTCTTCTTCTGTTGACTCCACCTTCCCTAAGCCTTGCCTCAAGTCTAAGAACTGTGCTCAGAAAGAGATTTACAGTGAACCCCAGAATGGATCCATTTCCTCTGTGCAAATGTCCCTGGCTGGAGTGACCCTGGGAAGCTTCGTGAGGTTCGTTATAGAGCAGGGCGGAGCCCTCAACACAGACTCCAATCCTCACTGTGTCAAGGGCTGTGTGTGGGCAGTCACCCCATCTGAGCCTCAGGTTCTCATCTGCAAAATGGGAATCCTATTACCCCTCATGTACTGTGGTTCTGTAAATTTCCTAGCACATAGTAGATGCTCATTCAATAACAGTAACTAGCACTTCCAGGGGAGCTTTCTAGGTGACAGGCAGTGTTCTAAGCATGCTTACATATATTAGTTTATTTAATCTTTGTTGTAACCATATGAGGTGTGTATTAGGGTTCTCCAGAGAAATAGAATCAACAGGAGCTGCATAGAGAGCTTGAAGAGAGAGGGAGATTTATTTTAGGAATTGGCTCATATGATTGTGGAGGTTTGAGAGTCCAAAATGTGAGACTGGGGGAAGAGCTGCAGCTGAGTCCAAAGCCGGCTGCTGGCAGAACTCCTCCTTGCTGAGGGCGGGTGTGTGTGTCAGTCTTTGTTCTATTAAGAGGTCTTCAACCAATTGGATGAGGCCAGCCTGCATTATGGAGGCTAATCTGCTTTACTCAAAATCCACTGATTTATTTAAATGTGAATCTCATCTAGAAAACACCGTTGCAGAAACATCTAGAATAATGCTTGACCAACTATCTGGGCACTGTGGCCCAGCCAAGTTGACACATAATAAAGTTGACACATAATAAACCATTACAAAGTGGGTAGGTATGAATGTTATCCCAAATGTACAGAAGAGGTAATGGGCACAGAGAGGCTAAGAAATCTACCCAAGGTCACAGAGGAGAGAAGCCAGACTCTCAACTCCTGCTGTCTGGCTCCAGAGCTGGCATTTTCAACCACGACACTAAGTGGCCATTATCATAAGCACACCAAAGTAAATTAAATTTCTCCATCCATCCTTTTCCTGGCCTGAGAGTGGAAGGCAGAGAAACTGGGAGTTAGCTTTCTCTGGGGAAGGCAGCCTGGGTGTGGCCCTACATTGCTTAGGAAGCAGTGCAGAAGCTGAGCCTCAGAGACTGTGGCGGGGGACCCAAGAGGTTATTTTGTTCAGCTCTTGCCTTTATAGGGGGAAACTGAGGCCCAGCATAGATAAGGAATTTGCCCAAGGTCACGTAGGGAGAAAAGTGGCAATGGAGCCAGGACTAGGTCCCAGTCCTTCAGAAAGTGCTCCTGCTGTGGAGAACTGACACATGTATAGTTATTAGGTGCCAGGACTATTCCACACTAACATACTTAATCCTCTTGTGTGAGGTAGATACATTAGCATCTTTGTTTTAAAGAAACGGAGGCACAGAGAGGGTATGAAACTGGCCTAAGGTCACACAGAGTCAGAATTTGAGCCCAGGTTCAACCAGGACACTACGCCTCTGAGGCCCAAAGCAAGCTTCTTGTGCGGGTGGTGACAGAGCACAATCCGTTTTGCCCCTCCTTCATTCTCCCACCTGAGGCCTGTGTGGAGGGAGAGTGGAGGAGCGCTATTCCCCAGCCTTGCCCAGACGTTCACAGAAATGCCCTTCTGCACCAGTGGGCAAGCATGCCTGAGACACCTCACACCCAGGTGACAGGCAAGTGCACACACAGTTTGGGACATGCAGAGCTAGACATGACCCAAACAGGCACACAAATATACACGAACACAGACTCCAACCCATAACCAGATAGATCTCAACTACACATGCACCCAACCTATGCACCCAAACAAGTAAACACACCCTCATAGCACACAGCTATCATGACTCACACATGTACACAGAACCCCACAGGCACACATGCCCCCATCACATAAACCAAGACACAATTTTCCCGGTTCCAACAGGCACGTGAACAAGCACTTGTACACACAGAAACATACATATCCTGCAATTACATCTATGCCACTCTACATCCATCCATGATACGGGGCACACCCCTCAACCTATCCACAGACCAATGCACCTGGGCACAGGAGCCATTCAAGGAGCCACGTGTTACTACCTACATCCCCAAGGGCCAGAGCCCAGAATAGATGTCCACGTACCAGCACCCCATCAATGTGGTCAATCCATGTGTCTGCACAGATCACTGCAGCAGTCTGTCCCCACCCCCACTTCAGCACACACACAGCCCTAATTCCTAGGGACCACTCTCCCCCAGTTGACTACAGCCCACCCACATCCAGGCGTTTGCCATTTGGGGAGCCCAGCCTCCCCCTTCCAGAGAGAATCCTGTTCTACCCTCATCCCACAGCAGGCAGCTCCGAGGGGTGGCCTGCCTCTCTCCCTGCCTCCACCCCCTTCCAAACTCCGGGCGGGCCCTGGCACCTGTCAGGTCAATGCGGGGGTGCTGGGGAGGGTCGGGTCTCAGCTGTTAAAACGCAGAGCCCCCACCTCCGCAGGGAGAACACGCTCAGAGTTGGGGGAGGGAGGAAGGTCCACGGTGCAGGCGCTAAAAACTCAAGTGACTCAAGGACGACCCCTTTTCAGTCCTGGATCTCAATCTCACCTTCTCGCAGGGAAGCCCCAAGTCTCTATTAACCCTTCCATCACCGGGGTACCGCGGAAGGGACTGGAGAAGTCACAGCACTGCGCAGCAGTGGCCGCCGCAGCCCGGGGGCCAAGGACCCGGCTGCCCACGGTGCGGGGGCTTAGGCCCTTCCCGAGCCACCCACGCACTCCCCATGCACCCACCCCCACTCCCACTGGAAACAGAGAGGTGGTGGGAGCCGGAGCGACTCGGTGGGGGGAGAACGAGGGTTCTAGGACCAGAGGTCTCAGGGGGCATGCACTGGGGAGGGGCAAGGGAAGCGAGTACCCCCGGCCCCGCAGGACCCCTGGGCTGGCGCGAAAGGACAACCGCCCCCCGGCCCCCAGCCCCCAAGAAGTCCTCTGCAGGATCGGAGGGGCGCGTGCACGGAGCGGGAAGGAAGGCTGAAGGGAAAACGCCCGGAGGCTCCCTTACCTGATTTCCTCTTGGAACTGCCATAGTCCCTAAAAAAGAAGCAACAACAGATAGACATGGTTAGGAGCGGGCGAGGGCGCGGGGCTGCGGCTGCGGGGGCGCCCTCAGGCTGGCTGCGGTCGGTCCCGGGTGCCGCTGCTCATGTGATGCCCACCGCCGGCGAGCCGCGCGCTCCGCAGCCGCACGCACTGCGCGCCGCGCCAGCCCGCCCGCCAGTCCGCGGGCCCCCTGCCAGCCCGGCCCCCGGGCGCGATTCGCCCGCCCCGCCCCGCCCCGCCCCAGCCCGCCCTGCTAACGGGGGCTCACCTTCCCTAAGCCTCGGCGGGCCGGGAGGGCGAGGCAGGTTCTCTGCACTTCCCAAACTGGGAAACTGAGGGTCCGGGAGGGCGCTCGCCGGAACCCGGGCCCTACCCGGCACTGGGAGCCCGCTCACCCCGCCCCAGGAGCGTTTCACCTCCCTGTTCTTTGCATGATTCGCGCTAGCCATGCAAAGCATTGGGAGGTGAACCCGGCCCACTCAGCCTGTAAGTCACGACTGGAATGTGTCGTCCTCCACACCACCCTCCAGGTAACCACAGATTTGTGTGACCCTTTGATTAAAGTCTGCCCCTGTCCTAGACCCGAGACTCGCTGTGGGCCACTGTGGCTGCTTCCTCTCACTGTCCGACCCGAGACTGGCAGCGGCCATGCATAAGACCCTTCTCAGGCTACGGCTGGGGAGTCCCGAGGGGGCGTGGGAAGTCGAGGACAGAGGATTCTGCAAAGTTAACTGGGAGGCCAGGAACGGTAAGAACGGAAGTTGAGCTTCCGAGGAAGTGAGCACTGGGTTCAAATGCTGTCACAGACTGTAACTGCTGTAACCTCAGGCACTGAACCCTCCCAGCCTCCGTTTACCTGCCCTGCCCTCCAGCAAAGAGTTAACCCAGACTCAAGGATGGGCAGATTTCGCAAATCAGGCCCTTGCTCCAGCCTTCCTTATCTCTGCGACCCCTCCCACCCCACTCTCCATTCACGATCCTTAGGGGACTGGGAAAGGTGAGCTGGCTCCCTTAACCTGAGCCTCACGTGCCCCTAAAGTCTGAAAGTTCTGTTCAGTGCTCGGGGAACAGCAGAGGGGCTGGCTGGGGCTCTCTGTGGAGTCTGAAGGAAATGCCTTCCATTTTCCCCAGGGGCCAAAGAAAATGCCAATTGCTGCCCATCTTTGGTGGAAGCCAACTAGCCCACTGGTCTGCCACTGGAAAGGTGGGGGTGGGGTGTGGTGGAGGGGGATTCTCTTGGAGGAAGAGGCAGCAGGCTCCCTGGGAAGGGAGCAGAGTCAGCTTCATGGAGGCTCCCCAAGATTCCATTCCAGGAGCTCTAAGGGTGGCCTCCAACATGGGGAGTGTTTATTTAGCTCCAAGGTGATCTGCCTGCATAGCAGAGAGTGGGGAGCTCCCCTGCTCCTAGGCATCTGCCTTTCCCAGAACTTCGACTGAGACCCCACTTAATCAGAACGCTGGGGGTGAGGTTCAGGAATCTGCCTTTCTGACATCTCCTCTTCCTTGTTTGAGAACCCCCTGGGTATACCATGTCTCCTTCGATCGTCTCATCCACACTAAGAGGAAGGCCCTATCATCCCCATTTTATAGATTAGGAAACAGAGGTTCAGCCATTGTCCAAGGCTGCCCACGGGAAAGGCTGTGGTTTATAAGCCCACGGAAGGAATAAAAACTGCAGCGTGGATGGGGTGGAGGAGAATCTGTGGAAACTGTTGCCTTGTAAAGGAGCTACAGAAAGGTGGGAGAGTGGCTGGGCGCGGTGGCTCACACCTGTAATCCCGGCACTTTGGGAGACCAAGGCGGGTGGATCATGAGGTCAGGAGATTGAGCCCGGCCAACATGGTGAAACCCTGTCTATACTAAAAATACAAAAATTAGCTGGGCATGGTGGCGCCTGCCTGTAATCCCAGCTACTTCGGAGGCTGAGGCACAAGAATGGCTTGAACCCAGGAGGTGGAGGTTGCAGTGAGCCGAGATTGCGCCACTGCACTCCAGCCTGGGTGATAGAACAAGACTCCGTCTCAAAAAATAAAAAACAAAAAAACAAAGAAAGGTGGGAGAGTTTCCATCTGCCCCCTCCCTGGGCTACCACCTGTCAGTCCAGGGAAGGCCTTAACAAGGGCACGCTTGCCTCCCTTGCAGAAAGGAGATTGGGCAGACTGTGTCCTGGAGTGCCTAGCTGTGCCCCCAAAAAGCTCAACTGTGCAGAGAATTCCAGAGAGGAGGAAAAGAGTATTAGATGGTAGCTCTGCCCTGCCCAGAAGACTTTCCACTTCCAAGGAGGAAATTAGTTTTTCAGGCCTTTTCACTGAGGGCTACTGGGGAAGAGCAGGGAGTGGAGGGCACTGAGGAGCTGCCCTCTGCTGTCTGACAATTTTCCTGCTGGTCCAGGCAGGAGAAGCCTGGGACTGATGGCCCACTGACCATTCCCCCAACCCGGCTGCCAGGCAGCGTGCCCCTTCCTCCCAGGGATGGCGACCTTCTCCTTCACCAGCTCTGAGCAGCTTCAGGCTACCCAGGCTGTTCCCATGAGACAGGGGAGCACAGCGAGACTCAGGAGTGATGCAGGCACAGCGGCTCATGCCTGTAATCCCAGCACTTTGGGAGGCTGAGGCAGAAGGATCATTTGAGCCTACGAGTTCAAGACCAGCCTAGGTAACGTAGTGAGACCCTTATCTGTACCAAAAATAAAGAAAGTAGCTAGGCGTGGTAGCATGCACTTGTACCCCCAGCTACAAGAGAAGCTGAGGTGGGAAGACTGCTTGAAGCCCTGGAGGTCAAGGCTGCAGTGGGCTCTGACGGCACCACTGCACTCCAGACTGGGTGACAGAGTGAGAGTCTGTCTCAAAAAAATAAAAAGAATGGGAAAGAAACAAAACTCACATGCTTTGAGGGCCCCCTTTGCGCCAGGCCCTGCGTGGTGATTCTCAGCCTGCCATTTGAAGGAATCATCTAGAAAGTGGTTAAAATTCAGATGGAGGACCCCACCCCAACCTACTGCAAGACCTACATCTCCAACAAGCTCCCCTGGGGATTCTGAGGCTGCCTCAGTGTTGCATCATCTCCATCAGGCTCCGGCCACCCCTGAGAAATCTGGCCTGCCTGTCCTTCAGCCAGACTACAGAGTCCTCCCCACCAAGGGCTTCTGGGTCCCTCCCTGCAGCAGGAGTGGGCTCTCCTCTTGCAGGTGAGAAGAGCAAAGCTTAGAGAAGCCAGACAACTTGCTCAAGGCCACATAGTGAGTGGGTGAGGCCACGACTGGGGACCAGAAAACCCAGGCCTTGCTCTGAGGCTCCAGACAGATGCCCAATCGCCACCCCCTCCTGGAGCAGGGGGCGCAGGAGTGGAAGCCAGAGCCCAGGGGCCTGATCAGGACACGGGGTTAATGGGGTGGAGGCTGAGGTCCTGGCAGTGGGGATCGCCAGGCTGTGACTGAACGGTGGGAACGAAGAGGAATCATGACTCCTTCAGGGTGTCTGGCTTCCCGCCCCAGTAGGCGCTGCCCTAATAGGAAACCTTTTAGAAGCTTCTGGTTGGGCATCCTTTAGCAAAGCCATTTCATATTTTTAGCTGCTGAATAGGCTGATAAGCAGTTTAGGTATCCAGTGGCTGGGACTCCCCCATCCCTCACAAACGAGGGCAAGAGGCAAAGGCAGGGATCCTCCTCCATGCCACGACCACTTCCCACTGCCCTACAACCAATCCCGGCCTGGCAGGACAGCAGCGGCCCTTCGTTGGGGCTCAGTTCCCTAGCAACTTGAGAAGCCCCCTCCTTCCCATGAGAGTCCCCTTCTCCAATCCACTCCCCATCCTTGCTCCAATTCTAGCCCTGAGCTGGTGTTGACAGCCCCCACCCTGCCGGTGACTCCATTCCCAGTAGGTCACAGTCTAGCCTGCTTCCGACTTGCTGCTGAATCACTATCCCAGGGAGCCACAGGAAGAAGGCGGGGCTAGCATCTCCCTCTAGCGTTGCCAGAGGCTAATGTAATTGAAAAGGCCTCCCAGGCTGTGTCCTGAAATAGTTCCCTCGCGTCAGACCACTCAGCCATTCACTCTCTGCAGCTGGTCCAGGGGTGACTCAGACCACAGGTACAGTGACCCATAGTCCTAGAAAAACAGGGACATGGGACTTTCAGGGCTCAAACTGGACAAACTGGGATGGGTGATCTCCTGTGGTCCACAGGAATGGCCTGGCTGGGAAAGGTGTGGAGTTCCCTCACCCCGCACTCCATCCCTCCCCATCTAAACAAGGACTCCGGCTGCCTCCACTCCCGCCCCACCCTATCCCCAGGTGGTGTGGTTCATCTCCCCAGCCCAGGTGGTGCGGCCCCTCCCTGTAGGATGATGCAGTCTGCGTCTGGATGAGGCAGGTTCTGGAGATGGAGGCCTCCAGTTCAAATCCCTGCTGGCAGGGGCGGGGGGGTGCCCTTGATCTACTTTCTTGGCCTTCTACTTCTCTAGCTATAACAGGGACAATCGCAGCACCAAGCCCTCAGGGTCTGCAGAAGACGCAATGTACAGTATGCAGAACGGGCTTCGCACAGAAACTGCTATAAATTGTCTTTGCCATTATTCTTTCACACCTGGGCCCATCAGACCCCACCTCAGTTGCTATGCAGGTGGCAAAGACCTGTTTAAACCTGGGCCCTGCAGCGCCCCTGAAATGAAAGGAGCTTTTCCTCAAGGACCTCACCACGAGGCCGCAGGCAGTGCCAGGCGGGGGTGATTCCAGCTCCACTTTCAGAGTTTTGGGCTTTCGCAAATGCCAAAACCACCGCTGGTCTCTGCCTAGCGCTGAGCACCAGGAAGTGCATCCATCCTGACCCACAGGAATGGACACACGCCTCTGGACCCATCTATTAGGACACATTTAATTTCCCAAAGAGTGGCCAACTCTCAGAGCCCCAAAACCAAGAGATGTAAAGGGCCTGTATTGTCATGCTAATGCAGACCGTAAAGGGTTTTTCTTTTCTCCTTTCATTGATCTTCGCCAGATACAATTCACAGGTGTTGCCCCGTTTTGACACATGGCTCCCCACACTCTGCCTTCCCCTTGAAAACTCCCAGGATTTAGTCTCTGGTGTTCTGAAGTAGACAGAGCAGGTGTTCACCCATTTCATGGATGAGGAGATTGAGGTCTGAGGCTTCAGTGGCTGGCCCAGGCTCCTGAAGCTAAAGGGACAGTCCTGACCCACAGTGCTCCCGAGAGGCCACGCTGAGGTCCACTAGTGATTGGGCCACAAGGAGAGGTCACACCAGCGGCGGGCAGCAGGTCCTCACTGGGGAAAGGAGGTGGCCATCTTGCCACTCAGGCTTCCCAGAGTGAGAGGTGGAGCCAGGAAGAGCCACAGAGGCACGGGAAAGAGAGGAGAGGAAGCTGGGCCTGGTGGGGCCAGCTCTGTGGAAGGGTGCTGAGGGCCCACCAGGTGCAGTTCTGACAAATACTGCAGGGTCATGCCCTCCACTGCCCACCCCGCCCCCCACCACTCTCCCTCCTGTCAGCAAGTGCCTTGGCAGAGAAGGACATAAGCCCAAACTTCCAGCCTGGTATTCTCCCCTCCTGTCTGGCTGGCATTGGCTGCTGGGCCCAGGAGCTTGTCTGTGGGGCCTACAGCCACTGGGAAGTGCTCGAGAGGCCGTCTGGGCTGCCAGACAGCTGACTTGCGGGTGACCTTGAGAGCCCAGCTGTCACTGAGGACATGGGCGCTACCTAGAGTACGAGGGCTGGGGAAGACGCAGTGTTGGCCAGGAGAGTGACGTGGGGCTCTCGAGACACATTGAGATTTCGACTGCCGTTACCACCCTGTAAGCACTTGTTAAGCTCCTGCTGTAGGCAATCTCGTTAAGGCCCGTGCAGGCAGGCAGAGGAGATACATGTGACGTAAGTCCAACGAAAAGGTAATGTTCTCAGACCAACCATGATGAGAATGACAGGAGGGGTGACACTCAGTGCAGAGAAAGGAGAGGTCAAGGGGGTCTCAGAACATCCCAGTAGCTTCCTGGAGAAGGAGGCCTTGAAGGACAAGGGAGTTTGGATCCATGGAGGGGGAAAGGTCTAGAAGCAGGAACAAGCAGCTCCGAACAGTTGCGGACTGGGCAGTTGGGGGTTAGTGGGTGGACAGGCCATGAAAGGCCAGGCGGGGCAAGGCTCTGATATCTGGCTGTGAAATCTAGAAGTCTGCAGAATTGGGGAGTGATGAGGTCAGATCCTGGCTGGAGGAAAATTTTTGTTAAGAGGTGAGGTTGGCCGGGCGCGGTGGCTCACGCCTGTAATCCCAGCACTTTGGGAGGCCGAGGTGGGTGGATCACGAGGTCAAGAGATCGAGACCATCCTGGTCAACATGGTGAAACCCCGTCTCTACTAAAACTACAAAAAATTAGCTGGGCATGGTGGCGCGTGCCTGTAGTCCCAGCTACTCAGGAGGCTGAGGCAGGAGAATTGCCTGAACCCAGGAGGCAGAGGTTGCGGTGAGCCGAGATCGCACCATTGCACTCCAGCCTGGGTAACAAGAGCGAAACTCCGTCTCAAAAAAAAAAAAAAAAAGAGGTGAGGTTGACAGTTGGAGGATGTCAAAGTCCAGTGCTAAATGTCAGCAGACTCGGGTTCTGGGCCCAGCTCTGTCCCTCAGGGTTTGGTGGTACTGGACAAGCCACTTCAAACATAGTGCTTTTCAAATGACAGGCAGTGACCCATTAGTGAGTCGTGGAATCAATGTACGGGTCCCAGTGAGCATTTCAAAAGGAACAGACTAAAAATGATCCGCGAGTCACCCCGGGCAAGGCTGTTCTGCGGCACCTGCACCACATGTCTGTCTCAGTCTGTGTATCAGGTTGCAGTCTGAAGTTTCCTACTGTGGCAGGAAGGTTTGAAAAACACTGACAGAGTCTCTGGGCCTCGGATTCCCCAGTCCTAACGGGAGGCTACTCCGAGTGCCCTCGCAGGGCTATTGTGAGAATTCGAATTCTCTGTGAAACCACCACAGTGAGAAGGAGCATGTTCCAGAAACCAAGTGAGACAGGACCAAGCAAAGGGGCTGGGCGAAGGGGCTTTGGGTCACTGAGGGCTGGGGAGTTGGGGGATTTTTTTTCACCCCATTTAGCCCCTAGCTGGGTTTTTGTTCTGGCTTTTGAGAGCCTTTGCACAGAATGGTCTCCAGGGGCAGTGACCTCCAGGCAAGACAGACAGAGGGGCCTACAGGCCGTTCTCTGCCCCTATTTGCTCCCTGATCTAAATCGTGGCACTGAGGGCCCTTGTGTTTAACAAGAATCCGTCTTTCTCCGCAGGGCCTGTGTTTTCCAGGGTTCTGAGAATGGACCCCATTGTGACCATGTGGCTTGTCCAGAGAGGCTGGAATTCCTGCCCTGGGTGAAAAAGCTGAATTCCTGCGGAGAGAAGGGGTCTCAGGCTCCCCAGGCTATGTCCCAGAGAGGCCACATGCTCCAGACATCACAGACCCCAGAACCCCCCGGCATTTTGCTTGTCTCCTGAACATCCCAGAGGGTCTCTGCTGCTGCTCTGTCCATAGCGAAAGAACAAAGCACTGTCTGTCTGTCTCCTCTGACTTGTTCCACTATTCTGGGCAAAGGCCCGAAGTGTGTCTTCAGCCTCAGGACAGGCTTTACCATGTCCAGGCCTCAGAGCAGGGAGTTAAATGGGTGGGTGGGTTAGAACTCTGGTTCAGCCACCTCGTGCTTTGTGATATAAACAAGTGATTTCACCTCTCTGTACCTTCGGTTGTAAACGAGGGTTAAATAGTTGCTATCTTACAGAGCTGTTATGGGGATTACATGGGATAATGTGCATATCTCTTGAATGGCATCTGGCCCATGGAAAGGACCCCCAGCCCAACAGCCTGGGTTCACAGGGGCTAGACTAAGAGTGTGGATGGTGTCCGGAATACAGGAGGTGCTGACTGTCATCTTCCCAGTATGGCCTGTGTGAGACCCTGGCTCTGTCACTCAGGGCACTGACGCAGGACCATGATGACAGACAGGCCTGAGTTCCCACCATGTACATTCCAAGGAGTCCACCTAGATGTGACACTGAGGAGCAGTCCATGGGAGTGGGAGGAGGCAGGGCAAGGGGAGGTGGGGAGGACGGCAGAAACACACAGCTGATTTCCTAGATGGGGAAATGGGGCGGGGGATTGCCAGTTCAGCCCATTGCCATGGAGGGCCGGGAGCACCTCGTCACGCCACCTAACATCCTGCTCCCTGTGCTGCCAGACTACTCTTGGCTATAGGGGCTCCCTGGACTTCCATGGAAGGGGGACTGACAAAATGGGGTGATAGGGTTCAACAGTAAAGTCCCTGAGGCAAAAGTCAAGGAGCCCTCAATCCCTGCTGCTACTTGTCCTCTGGGGAATGTGGGTTCCACCCAGGGTTGGGGGGCCTCTCTGCTCACCCCCTCTGTACCCAGGATCCTATCCCCTGTCCTCTGGCACAGCTGCTTCCTGCAGGAAAGCAGGTCTTTGATCTCCCTGAGAAGCCATGCCCCTGAGAAGCCGTGCCCCTTATGCTGTCTCTTGCCTGTCCCACCTGTGCCCTGCCCTCCAGCTTGTATTTAAGTCCCTGGGCTGCCCCTCAGGGTGCCCCCTGCTCCCAGGTTCCCCTCTGGTGTCATCTCAGGCATTTTTCTAGGAAAAGCCACTTGGGGAAGGATGGAAAAGGACAAAAAAATTAAAAAATCAATAAATTTCCATTGGCCCTCAGGTGAGCTGAGGGTTTTTGCAAGGAAAAAAAAAATAAATATAAATATATATTTAAACATATATATTTACATATATTTAAACAATATAAATATAAATACATATATTTAAATATATTTAAAGACCTTCCCTGCCTCTCTCCAAGTCCATCCATCATCCATCTACCATCCATCCACCATCCACCATCCATCCATCCATCATTCATTTACCATCTATCCATCCACCATCCACCCATCTATCATCTAGCCATCCATCATCTATCCACCATCCATTCATCATCCATCCACCATCCATTCATCATCCATCCACCATCCATCCATCCAACCACCATCCATCCATCATCCATCCACCATCCATCCATCCATCCACCATCCATCCATCATCCATCCACCATCTATGCACATCTCAACTGAAGGGTTGTTTAGACCCGGTCTTCTGTGTGAAGCAGGAGAGTCGCAGAAGACACACTGTCGTGCCCTCAAAGAGCTCACCATCTAGCTGGAGAGAGAAGGCGAACACCTACAAAAAGACAACATACCAGTTCCTTTGTGATCAGGTGCCCCAAAGCTTGGTCAAAGGAAACATTGTGTAGGAACTCCCAGGACAGGGAGATCAGAGTGGTCTGGTGTGGTCAGGGAGGGCTATAGGTGGAAGACAGGGCACTGGAGCTAGCCTTTGAAAGATGAATATTTAGAAAGAGCAGAAGCAGGAAGGAGATTTGGGGTGGAAGGGGTGGTGTGAGCAAAGGTGGAGGGGCAGGAACAGATGTGAGCCTGTGTGTGTGTGTGTGTGTGTGTGTGTGTGTGTGTGTGTGTGCGCGCCTGCGCGTGTGCGTGCGAGCGGGCATGCTGGGAGCGGAGGGTAAGAAGGCTGTATGTCTTGGGGGAGCAGGACAGGCATCTGGGGCTGAACTGGGCCCCAAAGGAAGGTGGCTCGAATTTTAGAGGAAGTTGCTGAGAGCAACCCAGCAGCAGTAGTCCTAAAGAGATTTTCCCTGAAGGTGTTGGCACCAGCTCTGAGCCTGAGGATCACATTCCGAGCTGCTTCTGGTTTTCCCTGTTCAGGCAGTGGGGTGGGGACTTGTTTCCGGGGAGCCAGAGGACTGCTTTGCCCCTCAAGCGACACCAGCCCCGTCTGCAGAAGTGTGCCTGGTCTATGTGTCGGAGTGTGTGAGACACAGGCAGATACCAGGGTCCCACTGCAAAGCACAGACCTCTTGGGTCACTCCCCAGCCCTGGTCTGTTTTCAACCCGAGATGGAGCTTAGGCCAAGGGCTCCCAACTTCCCCTGGAGGCCAAGGAGCCCACCCGAGGCCAGGCTGTGCTTGTTTCTGGTTTGCCTCTGTGGGAAAGAGGACTTGGGGGGCCCCACACTTCTCCCTGTACACACCTAGCCCACCTGCATGGCCCTGCGAGGCCCGGTGATCTCCCCTCAGTGAAGGAACCTGAACCTCCCAGACTTTCCTGGACACCACGTGACAAACCCACAAGCACCAAGCACCCAGATGTACGCAGCCCTACGGAGGCGGCTGCATTAGCCCCATTTTACAGATGCGGCTGAGTCAGCTTAAGTCGCTTGCCTGTTGTCACGCAGCTTGCAATGGGAGGCAAGGCTGCAGACTGCGGCTGTCTGTGCTGCCACCACCACAGGCCTCCTCCTCTTCTGTCTAGTGTTTCACAACTTTCAAGGCCTAGGAAGGGGGCACCTCCTCCAGAAAGTCCACTCTGATTTTAACACCCAATGGCACCAAATGTTCTAATTCTGTCCCCAACACCCAGTGGTGCCCTCAAAGGAGCTGTCCAGTGTAATTCTCTGGGGTGATGGAAATGGTCTCTATCTGCTCTGTCCAGTATGGCGGCCACTGGCCACGGTGGCGCTGAGCACTCAAACAGTGAATTGTGGCCAGTAGGATTCAAACACTGAATTTTCCATTTTGTTTAATTAAGATCTAAAGAGCCACAGTGGCTACTTTAGTACAATCCAGACTCTGACATGGTATGGCCAGAAGGTTTGGCTCCCATGGGTGTGTGTGTGTGTGTGTGTGTGTGTGTGTGTGTGTGTGTGGCTGCCTAGGTTCAAATCCCTGCTCAGCCAGACAGATTATTTAGGGTCTCTGTCTTCATTTATAAAGTGCAGAGACTGTAAGGATACACCTAATTGGATTGCTGGGGGATAAACAAGTTAATACACATAAAGTCCCCAGTGCACAGTCAGGCTCCGTCACAGGGAGCACATGCGCAGATCCTCCACCCACTGCTGCAGCTCCACCTGCCAGTCAGGGGCCCTGCTGCCAGCAGTGGTTCACCCTGGAGAGGGGAGAGGCAGGGAAGAGCTGTGACCTGCAGGGTAAATGGCAGAAACACCTGGGACAGAGTGGGCTTGGCCAAAGGAGGGCACTGAGGGAGGGGGCCAGAAAGGTGGGAGCGGCGGTCGCGGGAGGAGGAGCAGCGTGGGAAGAAGCCTGGCTGGCCTCAGTGGGGTGGGCCAAGGCTCGGGGTGTCTGCAGAGATGAGGAAACCCAGGCTCTGCAGGGTAAAGCCACTTTGTCGAGACGACACTGGTGGCTGATGGCTGGCAGCACTGGGGGTGGCAGAGCTGGGGAATTCAAGCTCGTCTGAATAACTGTTGCCACTTTCACATTTCCCCAGAGTCCCTTGCCGCTGCCAGGCTGAGGGGTCTCCCCAGAGGCGACAGGAGTGACCGCTAAGCCTGGATCTCCCTCGCTGCTGCACCAAGAGGCTGACTTCATGAGGTTGTTCCACAGAGGGCAGTGGCTGCCATGTTCTGTACAGCAGGCACTCAAAACGCAGGACAAAGGGGCTCCTGCCAAGGGCCTGTGTGCCCAGGGATGGCGTGGCTCCCAGGTCAGCCTGGATGCAGGGCGGCCTGGGGGCTTCCCCAGGGTCTGCCAGAGCATACACATAAAGGACGGGGTCTAGGGAGGAGCTCTGCAAGATGCCAGCCAGGGCCAGCCCCGCCTGTGGGGCCCAAGACCTGAGTTCCAGGCCTGGCTGACTGAGCAGACAGCATGACCTGGGTGGTGGCAGCCCACTCTGTGCCTTAGTTTCCCCGATTGGGTTTCTGCAAAGAGGCCTCCAGCTCCAGTCTCAGGCAGGCCTGCATTCTGCTTGCAGCAGGAGGGCCATCCAGGAAGCCTAGGTAATACCTAGGTAACGCCTCCACGCCCCTAGCCTCCTGTGGCTGCCTTCCTGTCAACCTTGAATGCTCAGCAGCAACCACAGTGAGGCCCCTGCCTGCTGCTCACAAGCCTGCTCACTACAGGTCCCAGCAGGCCTGCCCTGGGCTACCACCTCCATCCTCCACCAAGCAACCTCTCCTGTGCTTCTGTACCAAGGAGAAGCTCCCCCAAGACCCTGGAGCAGGCCTGTGCCCTTAGAACCCAAAGTATGGTGGGAAACAGGGAGACAGGGTAGTGGGTGTGGCCAGGCCTTGGTGAGAGTCATCACTGAGTAGCCCTCCCCACCCTGAGTGGGCTTTTCTTTCCCAAAGGTGGGAGTGGCAGTGCTGCTACTATTATTACTAATAGTATTACTGACAAGGGCGCTACATTTGTCAAGCATTTACATTATGCCAGGTACCAAACTAGGCCCTTGACACACATCAGCTAATTTTATCCTCATTACATGCCTATGTGGTAGAGTCCCTTATTATCCCCATTTTACAGAAGAGAAATGGAGGATCAGAGAGAGCATGTGACTTGCCCAAAGTCGCACAGCTTGTGAGGGACAGAGATAACTGGAGGCCAAGCTGGCTCAGTCTAGTGCTCAAATCCTAACCACCACACTGTTCATTTACCACCTTGTGGCTAAGAAAGACACATAAAATCCAAATAGAAAAGCTAAACGCGGAGTAGGCGGGAAAGAGAAAGGTAAAATGAAGGCCAAGACTTGAAGTCAGAAACACCCAAACTACCAGTCTGGTCAACATGGTGAAACCCCCTCTCCACTAAAAATACAAAAATTAGCTGGACATAATGGTGGGCACCTGTAATCCCAGCTACTTGGGAGGCAGAGGCAGGAGAATTACTTGAGCCTGGGAGGCAGAGGTTGCAGCGAGCCGAGATTGCGCCACTGCATTCCAGCCTGGGCGACAGAGCGAGACTCTGCCGAAAAAGAAAAAACGACATACCCAAACAATAGCACTGAGTTCTAGACTCTTCTTAGGGAGGTCACAACTTCAGGTCTGGCACAAGAAAGGCCAATAGGAAGAAATCTGGCTGGTGACCTGCACAGTGGGTCACAGTGTCACAGCGTCTATGACCACATGCTCGAGATGCACTGTGGTTTCTGATGGGAACGGAGCACCCCCTCTAGAGCACCCGCAGCGGTCAAGCTTCCTGGGCTGCCTCCTGGTGGTTCTGCCACTGGTGTGGCTGCTCAGTGGGTCGGTGGCTGGCCTGCAGCATGGGGATGGCCTGGCTTCACGAGGGCCGGTTTTACACCTCAGCAGAGGTGTTTTAAGTTCTGGGGACAGTGATGCTAGACCAATGCCATCTTGGGCCCCAGCTCTCAGCCTAATGCACTTCCTGGCCCCTGCCCGGCAAACCTTATCCTAGCACAGCACTCGGTTCTTTTCCTGTGTGGTTCCCACCACTCCCAGTATGCCTTTGCCATTGCCTCGTTTGTCCTCTACTTCCTTCCCTCAACAGGAGGCTCCCTGAGGGCAGGAACTGGGTGTGTCTTGCCAGGCCCAGCACAGGACAGGGCTGGTCATAATTGTTTCCTGAATGAATGGACGAATTCCCTGACAACCGGTAACCAAGTTCAGGGCTGCTGGATGGTCTCGAGGGGCTGGTCAGACAATGTAACACCATCCCGAGTGTCTCAGTCCCTGCCTGGCAGGACACGCAGACCCTGCATCTCTGCTCTCCACTCCTTTCTCCCTTACCCAGTAGAGCTCAGTGGAAGTGCCGCTTCCTCCAGGAGGTCATCCCTGATTGTCACAGATGGGTCAGCAAGTGCAGATGGTACATTTCCTGCCTATTTATGAGGACGGACTTTGCAGCAGCCAGAAGCCTCCTGTGCTCTGTCCTCTGTGACATCACCTCAGGTTGCCATGGAAACCACCCTGGCATCACAGTGGAGCCCAGTGCTCTTGCTAACACCCTGCATTCTTGCTCATCTGTGTCTCTCTCCTCCTGTGGTTAGACTACAGTGTCTGTGGCCTCCTTCACGCATATCCCTGGCAGGGCTCAAGTCTGAGAACAGAGTCTTGTGCTTACCTGGGTGCTTACCATGTGCTAGGCATGGCAATATATATTTCAATTTTTTAAAATTAAAATTGTTTTTAGAGACAGGGTCTTGCTATGTTGCCCAGGCTCAAGCAATTCTCCTGCCTCAGCCTCCCAAAGTGTTGGGATTGCAGGTGTCGTGAACCACCTGGCCAGCTGCGCACCGTACTTCATGCATGTTATTTCAGTTAATTCTTGGAGCCACCCACCAAGAGGAACATGCTATCATGACTCTCATGTCCCAGAAGAGGAAACTGAGGCATAGTCGTTTAAGTCACTATCCCAGTCGCAGAGCTGGGATCTGACCCCAGTGCCAGCTGACTCCTAACCAGCATGAGCTGTTGTGTCTCTCTACCTTCCCACCCTCCTGCCCTCCCCCGCTGGGAAATCTCCAAGCCTGCACTCAAGGCCACCTGGCCCAGCCTCTCCCCGTCTCCTTTTGCCTACAAACCCTCCCTCAGCACCCAAGTCCACCTGGAGGCCCAGCCTCCCACAGCCTTCCCTGCATACCCACGGCCCCCAGTCTCTCGCCCTCTCCAGTTCCTCCTGCGCTCCTTGCTTGAGCGCCTCTGTGGGACCTGCTTGGCCTCCTAAAGCTCAGTGACTATCCGTGGTACCCTGGTCAGTCTGGCTCTTCTGGGACAAGGGACACATGAGCCTGGCCTCCTCCATACAGGCCTTCCTGACAACCTTAGCCAGCGTGGACCTCAGACCTTGTGTGATTCACAGCCCTGTCTCCATACTCTTTGTTACAGAAACTCAGCTGGTGACAAAGGGCCTCAGTCTGAGCCCCCGGGCTGGGGTGGGGGTGGTGGGGACTTCCTGACCTTTCCTGCAGCTGCCAGGCTCTTTCCTTTCCTTTGGTTCCTGCAGCACCGACCAGTGGCTCCCTCAATGGGAGGTGGGAGCCCAGGCCTCCCCAGGCGAAGGCCACCAGGAAGCCCCGGGCAGTTACCCTAAGCACAGTGGGAAGCACCGGCTTTTAGGAAAGCTCCCTCTGGCTATTGTCTGGAGACGGCCTGGAGGTGGGGAAAGGGGTGCATGAATGCCCCAGCGCCCCTGCCTCCGGGAACAGCCAGCAGCCAGGTGCTGGTCCCTTTGAGATGAAGCTGGTCGGTAACACACTGTGCTTGGCAGCCTTGTCTTCCCTGCCCTCTGTCACCTTACTGGTGCCTTCTGGTATCACCTCCAAACTACTTGAGCCCCAATCCTCAGCCTCAGATCTGCTTCTGGGAAATTCCAAACCAAGATGCCTGCCTTTCCTTGAATTATTTCCCTGGCTTGGGCAGCACAAAGTGTCCCCTGCTCCTGCCTGTTAAGATCCTCGTGGCTGCCAGGCCCTTCCTTCCACAGTGCCCAGCACATGAGGGGGCCAGCACGGGGATAATGCATGTCCCCCACCTTCTGGCTCCTGAGGCAGCACTGCAGTTCTCCAGGGGTCTCTGACCAGGTGACAGGTTCATGGGTGCCCTCTCCAGTTTAGGGGGGCGATCCAGGAAGTGGTGCTCCCGGCAATTAACCTTGAATTTTCTGGTTTGCAGGCACAGCCTGGTCTAATCTGGAGCCTGCCTCTGCCAAATTAAATCAGACCTGGCCACAGCCAAGCTCCTGCTTCTGAGCCATTCAGAGGAGACTTCTCCCTGTCCATCAGCCAGGCTCCTACTGGAATCTTCTCAAGAGCTCAACTCAGGCCTCCGGGCACCTTCCCATGCACCGCAGAGGGATGCTCAGGATGCTGCAAGCCTGGGGTTGCTCTTGAAATCGGCAGGAACGTTCTGAGAGCCAGAAAGAGCACTGGACTTGGAGCCAAAAAACCTGGTGCTAATCCAGTTTCTCTGACCCCAGGCAAATCATTTCCCTTCTCTGGACTGTACAACCTGCAAAGGCTGGGCTGGATGATGTCTGGGGAACTGAGCTCCAAAGGCTGGGACTAGGGGCGAACCCTCCCACCCTGCCTCTCACTGGGGCACAGCCAGGAGGGAAGGAGAAGCTGGTCCTATGACTCCAGAAACTGCAAACCCACGCAGCTGCAAGTTGAGTGGTGTTTTGTGGGCACGGATGAGCCAGCCTCTGGCACAGCCCCTTCGACAACAGCAACAGTAACAACTGGTACCATTCATTAGGACTGTGTGCTGCGCAGCATGCTAAGCCCTTGCCAAGCTTCACTGAGGGGCAGGATAGGTAAGAGGCTCTAGCCCATATTTGCCACTTACTGGCGTTGCCAGTCACATGACCTCTCTCTGCTTCAGTGGCTTAATCTGCAAACT